TATAACCACATATTTGGATTTGTAGAATCAAACAATCTGATCAGTGATCATCAGTATGGTTTTCGCCCTGGCTATTCTTGTACAACCCAGCTGATTCATCTTTTTCATGTTTTTGCAAAAGCTTTGGATCAACACAACTCTACGGATGTACTTTTCTTGGACTCTCAAAAGGCATTTGACTCAGTTCCTCATAATCGACTTCTACTCAAGCTGAAACAATTCGGCATTGTTGGCCCACTCCATTCATGGTTATCTGCTTTCCTCATTGGACGGTTTCAGCGAGTCGTGGTAGAGGGCTGTCAATCTGATTGGGTACCTGTAAAATCTGGAGTTCCTCAGGGCAGCATCCTGGGCCCCCTGTTATTTATATTGTATGTTAATGACATACCTGGAAGTCTATCTAGTCATTCAATATTGTTTGCAGATGATGCCCTAATATATGACCATTATCGTCCATCTTCAACTTCAGTGTCTGCACAGGAGAGCCTGAATCAAGTTAATGGTTGGTGTGGCTCGTGGCTTTTGAAAAACAATGCTAATAAAGGCAAGGCCATGAAATTTACCAGAGCAAAAAATCGTGCTAGATGCAGCTATTCTATCAACAACAACATTATTGATCAAGTATCTACTCATAAACATCTTAGAGTGGTTCTTTTTGATGACCTGTCATGGAAACCTCACATTCTTTCAACAGTAGCATGCTCGAACAAATTATTGGGTTTACTTAAACAAACCTTTGAATCGCACCATGAAGCTTTACTGAAGGGCTATAAAGTTATGATTCAACCAATACTCGGGGTGGTGTAGCAGCTCCAACAAGGTCTCTCCTGATTGGTTAACAAGCTTTTTGATAATATTTTAAATATAACTGACATATCATAATTATTACCTGATCGCGTTTGCATCTACCCGCGAATTTTAGAGGGCAGTGTGCATGTTATATATATAAACATAGATATACATACCCGGTATAGATATACATATAGACATAGATATAAATATACATATAGATATACATACCCGGTATAGATATACATATAGACATAGATATACATATAGATATACATATAGATATAGATATACATATATAGATATACATATAGATATACATATATAGATATACATATATAGATATACATATAGATATACATATACATAAATATGGGTTGCAAGGGTAGCAAAGTAATATACATAGCCATATATTGTCATATATAGAGAGATAGTGAAATATGGGTAGCGAGGGTAGCAAAGGTAGCGAGAGTAGCAAAGTAATATACATAGCCATATATTGTATATATAGAGAGATAGTGAAATATGGGTAGCGAGGGTAGCAAAGGTAGCGAGGGTAGCAAAGTAATATACATAGCCATATATTGTCATATATAGAGAGATAGTGAAATATGGGTAGCGAGTAGCAAAGGTAGCGAGTAGCAAGTAATATACATAGCCATATATTGTCATATATAGAGAGATAGTGAAATATGGGTAGCGAGGGTAGCAAAGGTAGCGAGGGTAGCAAAGTAATATACATAGCCATATATTGTCATATATAGAGAGATAGTGAAATATGGGTAGCGAGGGTAGCAAAGGTAGCGAGGGTAGCAAAGTAATATACATAGCCATATATTGTCATATATAGAGAGATAGTGAAATATGGGTAGCGAGGGTAGCAAAGGTAGCGAGGGTAGCAAAGTAATATACATAGCCATATATTGTCATATATAGAGAGATAGTGAAATATGGGTAGCGAGGGTAGCAAAGGTAGCGAGAGTAGCAAAGTAATATACATAGCCATATATTGTCATATATAGAGAGATAGTGAAATATGGGTAGCGAGGGTAGCAAAGGTAGCGAGGGTAGCAAAGTAATATACATAGCCATATATTGGTATATATAGAGAGATAGTGAAATATGGGTAGCGAGGGTAGCAAAGTAATACAAATATAGTTAAATAAAGAGATAGAAAAATACAGGTAGCGAGGGTAGCAAAGTAATATATTGATAACGTTGTGTTGAAATCATTTGACCAAAGACTTACAAATATTTATTGTTTTGATAACGTTTCGGGGTTTAACTCCATCTTCAGGTTATAAGATACAATTTAAAAATACGACTACGTATACCTATGCAATTAAATAAAAATTAAACTCCGAAACGTTGTAAAACAATACTTTATCTAAGTCTTTGGTCAAATTATTTCAACACAAAGTTATCAGTATAATGCAACATACAGAATGAGAGTATGAGTGTATGAAGGTGGCCTAAATTGGGGATATTCGGAACACATGTTTAGTATGGCGGCAAAACACATGATACACTGAAAAAATGAAAAGAAATTGGAATCCCATATCACAGGTCCATTATGGTATTCTGTGTCATTACGTTGCTAAAAAGACGTCTGATTGTGCCCGATTTAGCAAAGTACTGTAACTATATTCGAGTCTGTTTTGATGCAAACGAAATGGTAAATCATATCGTTAAAGGTTAATTAAAGTGAAAAGATAGCCTTTCATTTATGCCAGATTAATAGTGCCAAGTCTGTGGATGAGTTGCATTTCTTGTCGTTACGGCTATCGTTAGCACCACATATGGGACTGAGCCAAAGGGCTGATGAGCCACGGAGAATAAAAGTTCGATGCTATCTTGAAGGAAATTCCTCCAGAGTACAGAGATTGCCAAGTGATAAACAAAACCATTTCTTTTAGGAAACATATCGATATTAAAATCGTACACAGCAAATTTATTCCGAATAAAACCAATATTTTGGGGAGGAGTACATACAGTGACCGATGCAGTATACAATTCCAATGGAATAGGAGGGTCGGTAAGATCATATGATCCCATATCACCAAGCTTGTTGCCAAACATTTTACCTCCGGTAATCATTGTCACAGTCAGACACGGATACGAAAATTCCAGCCATCTGGTGCTAACGATAGCCGAAAACGACAAGAAATGCAACTTATTCACATTTGGCACTCTTCATCATGACAGACTATTTTTCATTTAAATCACTTCATTTTCATTTGGTTCTCTAATTTCGAGAGCTATTTATAGTTTTGTACCAATTAAATTTATAAATATAAAAAAAAATTCCCACCTATGAAAAATACAGTATTACGAGTTAATAGAAAACAACCTGTAAGACCCAAATGAATAATTATTGAATATTTATGTTTGAGCATTTGTGTTAAGTATTGCGGGCTCGCGAACTGAGATATATAAGCGCTAAGTCGCATAATTAGTTTAGTTTTTTACTTTAAATTACTGGACAGTGGAAGTACGTTATATTCGAGGATTCAAGGACAGTAGAAGGATTCATTTATATTTAAAGCCAAGATTCGTCAACGTGAGGTATATTATGTTTCATTATTGCATGCATATTTAAATTGTAATAGTAAGTAGTAATAGCTAGTGAAATATTTATTTTAGAAAACCAGTGCATTCAGTGCAAACTATGGTGTAATAAAGAAGACACAATTTTAAGTGCTGTGACTGAGTTATTCTCATGTTGAACTATAAACGTAGATGTTTAGGATCTACATTAGTTTTCTCACGATCGGAATTGTATTGGCGGCAATGTACCAGTTTAATCGAGAAGACGACCAGACGAAGATTCCCACAGCGGCCGACCGGGACGAAACGTTGTTGTTCGAGATCTAGAAGGGGCGCGTTTGGAAAAGCTTCGAAGTCTACGGTTATCTCGTGCTGGATACTTGGGAGCTATGAATCGAAAACAGCAGTTAATCGAACAATTGCTATTAGACCCAGCAAATTACGAAGCCGTAACCGCCGAAAAAACTTCAATGAATAAAATATTTGACGATTACACAAAATGTTGTAAAGATTATCGGGCTTGTTTAACTGAGAACGAAGCGGTCGAGTTTGAGGAAATGCTCGGAGAGTATAACAGTGTTAGCAGGAACAGGGAAGAGCTCGAAAATCGAGTAGAAGAGTGGCTACAAGACGTTCAAAACAAGATTATTGACGATAATAAGCAAGCGAAATTACAGACGTCGCGGTTAAGTGATCACGGCGGCTTGACAGTTTCACCAAAATTTGAATATCCAAGCATGCAAGATCGCGTTACTCCCACGCGTTCTCCTTACGATGAACAGAATAAGAGAAACTCTATATCGCAGACTCCAACAAAGAAGGCTGAAAGTTCTAATGGGAGTATGAATAAGTCAAGCGTTCGTTCAGCAGAAGCAAGATTTCGACGAGCTAAAGCTGAAATGGAAAAGAAACATTGTCTAGAAATGCAAGAAATCGAACGTCAACAGCAAAATATAGAACAGAAACTTGAATTGGTTCGTATAAAGCAAGACGTTGAGTCGAAGAGAGCCGAACTGCAGCGAAAACGTGAACTTTTACAACTGCAAAGTGAAATCCAACTGGCTGAATTAGAAGAAAATTGTCGTGTGATGGGTTTTCTACGCTCGAAAAAGAATACGGTGCAAAAGAATTGGGGAATGATCTGTTGTATACCCATAAAGTTAGTCCTTTGCAACCTACTCGTGTGAACCCTGGCTATGGTATCCCATTAGGAGGCTATCCCGCCACGATGAGTCCACGACCAAGATCGGAAATCAGAACAAGTACCGCAGCGCGGGTTTCGAAACGAAAGCTCACACCTTTCAAAGACAATTGGAGAAGATATGAGAGTCGTAGGGAAGCAAGACAATCCTGGTGATTGGTGTGATGGCATAGCTTCACCAGTATATGATTCCAAAGAAACCGAAGGAATTGCAACGTATGTTAAAGATCCAAACAAGAATCGTTGATCATGATGGCTCAGACACTGGAACGTCTATTAGCAAAGGATTCGAGATCCAAAACGAGATTATTTGACCTTTGATGGTAATCCAATGAATTATCCTCGGTTTATAGAGAACTTTAAAGTCAATATAGAAGAAAGAGAACAGGATTCTAAAGCTAGATTGGCGTATCTTATACAATTCTGCACTGGCGTAGCAAAGGAAGCCATTAGTAATTGCGTTATGTTACCAGACCAAGAAGGGTATCAACGAGCGAAGCAAATTCTGTACAATTCCTTTGGCCAGAGTCATATTATCACTCGCGCATACATCAACAAAGTGACGAAAGGTGGTTCGATAAAGGACGGAGAAAACGAGAAACTGTCACAATTGGCTCGAGACATGGAGAATTGTGAAATCAATCTAAAGCAACTTGGTTGTGAATCGGAGATTAACGCCCAAAGTAACTTGGAGAAGATTGTCATACGTCTGCCTAGATATTTACAAGCTGATTGGGCGAAGGAAGCATATATTATGTTCGAAAAGGGGACGTTGCCAACGTTCAAGCACCTGTCTGGATATATCACGAAGAAAGCGAAGCTGGCGAATAGTTCGTTTGGTCAGTTGATTGGTTCGAAACCTCAAGATGATGGGAAACCAAGGAATAAGAGAACCAGTGGCGGGACATCTTTTTCTACCCATGGTACAGAAGAAAATTCGAGAGACGAATTAAACCGCGTGAAATGTTATTATTGCGAAAAGACTGGTCATACCTTGGACAGATGTTACGCATTCAGAAATCAGTCTTTGGAAGAAAGACGGCGGTTAATCCGTAAAGAGAAGCTCTGTAACCTTTGTCTTCGAAAAGGACATTTTGTGAAGAAGTGTAGGGGACGAGATTCCTGTTTGGTTGCGGGATGTGGTCAGCGGCACCACAGTCTCTTACATCCTGTTGTAACAGTACCTAAGCAGGATCCAAAGACAGAAAAACAGAACAATGAAAGTGAACCTGAGAAAAAAGAGGAGCAGGAAATCGAGAACAACGGCGGCCAATGTTCTGCGACTGGGGCTGGTAGACGTGGAGTTCGCCTTCGAGTAATTCCGTTAAAGTTCGTGGAGTAAATTCAACACAAGAAATTGAGACATACGCACTACTCGACAATGGATCTGACGTCACGCTTTGTGAAAGCAGTCTAATTAAGCAGCTCGGAATTAGTGGAACACCTACAACGTTTTCCCTGACCACCATAAGTGAAGGAGTAAAAACTAATCATGGAGAAGAAGTACGTCTGGTGGTTTCGAGTTTGAATGGAGACGAAAGTGTGGACATTCCATGTTCCTGGACGGTAAACAAATTGCCAGTATCTAAAAATTGCATTCCAACTGCTCGTGACGTGTCAGAGTGGAGTCATCTTGAAGGAATAGAATTTCCTGAACTAGAGAATAAGAATGTCGCGATGATCATTGGTTGTGATGTTCCCGAAGCACATTGGGTGTTGGATCAACGCCGTGGAAGACGGAAAGAACCCTATGCAGTTAAAACTTTGTTAGGCTGGACTCTCATGGGGCCAGCTCGAACCGAAGAACCAGAGAAGTTCCATGTTCATTTTATCAATCGGGAGGACAATAACTTACAAGACCAATTAGAGAGAATGTTCCAGATGGAGTTCAGCGAGACAGATGCAATATCAACAACAGAAATGTCTATGGAAGATCGAAAAGCTTTGTCTATCATGGAAAGTTCAGCGAAGCTAGTCAATGGTCATTATCAAATCGCTTTACCTTGGCGTTACGGTATTCCAAATCTACCAAACAACAGAAGTATGGCCGAACAAAGAATGAAATCTCTTCAATGGCGTTTAAAGAAGAACCCTAAGCTGAAAGAGAAATACAAGAATGTTATCGAAGATTACGTAGAGAAGGGGTTCGCGAGTAAAGTGATAGAAGAACCTGCAAAACAGCTACAAAAGAATGAATCAAGCAGCATTGGTCGAGTATGGTATCTTCCTCATCATCCGGTGTTTCACCCTCAAAAACCAGGAAAGGTCCGTGTTGTCTTTGACTGTGCAGCAAAGTACAAGAATACGAGTTTGAACGATCAGCTTCTGCAAGGTCCCGACTTCACGAACAAATTAATAGGAGTATTGATCCGCTTTCGCCTAGAGAGAATTGCCCTAACATCCGATGTGGAGGCCATGTTTCATCAAGTTAGAGTAGATCCCAAGGATTGTGATACTTTACGATTCCTATGGTGGCCAGACGCTGATTTCGCAAAACCCTTAGAAGAGTATCAGATGCAAGTACATCTGTTTGGAGCCACGTCATCTCCGAGTTGTGCGGCGTTTGCATTACGGAAGACTGCACAGGATCATGGAGCGGAGTTCGACAAAGAGACCGTGAATACTGTCAACAAGAACTTTTATGTCGATGATTGCTTGAAATCGGTTCCAACAGTCAACAAAGCAGTATCTCTTGTAAGCGAGTTAACAACGTTATTGGCCAAAGGAGGATTTCACTTAACTAAGTGGATGAGCAATAGTCGTGAAGTCTTGGCTTCAATACCTCAGAAAGAGAGAGTGGCGTCAGTAGTCAATTTGGACTTCGAATCGTTACCGGTAGAGCATGCGCTGGGTGTCTTATGGGATGTGGAAGACGACGTGTTTCGTTTTCGTATCGCAGAAATGAAAGAGATAAAGACAAGAAGAGGGATATTATCTTTGGTTAGTTCAATGTACGATCCAATGGGATTTGCTTCCCCGTTCGTTCTGCCGGCCAAGCAAGTTCTTCAACGTCTATGTCAAGCGAAGTACGGTTGGGACGAAGTTTTGCCTGAAGATGAAATTGAGTTGTGGCGCAACTGGCAAGAATCGATAACACAATTGAAAACCATGACCATTCCCAGATGCATCCGACAAGATATGTCAGCGAACCTTTGCAGAGCTGAAGTCCACAATTTCGCGGATGCGTCCAGAGATGGCTATGGGGCAGCTTCGTACTTGCGTCAAGTTGATGAAGAAGGGAAAGTGATCGTCTCACTTATTGTTGCTAAGTCGAGAGTAACACCTTCGAAACCTGTGACAATTCCTCGATTAGAACTGACTGCAGCTGTGCTAGCTGTGAAGCTCAATCGTCAAGTTGAAGAAGAACTAGAGATTCCTATTAGTCGTGTTGTATTCTGGACTGATTCGACTGTGGTGTTACAGTACATTAATAATGAATCCAAGCGTTTTCAGACTTTCGTGGCCAACAGATTAGCTGTGATTCATGATATGTCAACGCCATCGATGTGGAGATATGTAGACACAAAATCTAATCCTGCAGATTACGCATCCAGAGGATTGAAAGCTGATGAGCAACGGAAGATTCATGTGTGGCTGAATGGTCCAAATTTCTTACGTGAAGAAGAGGATAAATGGCCAGAAATGCCTGAAGGGCTTAAAGAAATGCCAGACGAACAGTTAGAATGGAGAAAAACAGCACAAGTACATGAGATTGTAACGTCAAAGGATGGCACTGCGTTCGACAGATTCCTGGAATATTATTCAAGTTGGTATGCTCTTCAAAAGGGTGTTGCATGGTTCCTTCGTTATTTGTCTTTCCTTCGTTCTACAAAGAAATCACCTGACAAAGTTAAAGACGGTATCGCGAAAGGACACTTGACGGTTAACGAAATTCGTGTTGTAACTGACAAAATCGTAAGATACGTACAGCGTCAGAACTTTTCCGAGGAGATTGAAACGTTGCAAACAGCTGAAACTAAGAGTGATCGAACAAGAAATCTGTTGAAAAGAAGTAACTTACGGAAACTAAGTCCAGTGTTACTGAATGGAATATTGCGAGTCGGAGGACGCCTCGAAAGATTCATTATCATTTGATGCGAAACATCCGATCATTTTGCCTCAAAAGCACCATATCACGAAGTTAATAATTCGACATTATCATCAAGTCGAAGGTCACATGGGTTCGCGCCAAGTATTGGCTACTATTCGGAAGTTATTCTGGATTATTCACGGCCCGTGCGAAGTGCGAAAGGTAATAAAGACGTGTGTGCAATGTCAAAAGAGATACGCGAGACCGGGCGATCAAGTTATGGCTAATCTTCCAGATGCACGGGTAATACCTTCCAATCCACCCTTTACATTCGTTGGTGTGGATTATTTTGGTCCGATAATGGTACGTCAAGGCCGCGGACAAGTAAAACGCTATGGTTGTCTATTCACCTGTTTAACCATGAGGGCGGTACATATTGAAATTTCTCACTCCCTTGATGCAGAATCATTTCTGTGCGCATTTAGCAGATTTACGAACCGACGTGGTCAGCCAAGTGATGTTTATAGCGATAATGGTACGAATTTTACAGCGACTCACTCCATCTTGAGAGAAGAATTCAAGAAACTTCAGTCCAAGACCTCCCAAACTTGTATTCAAGATCGCCTGCGAAAAAGCTATATCCAATGGCATTTTAATCCTCCAGCAGCCAGCCATATGGGCGGAAGTTGGGAAAGACTTATACGATCGATTCGACGAATTCTAAAATCATTGTTGGAAGAACAAATTGTGAATGACGAAGCACTGCTGACGTTCATGACGGAGGTAGAGAGAATCTTAAATGATCGTCCACTTGTTCGACAAGAAAATCATCCAGATGACCTGGACCCCCTTACACCGAACAAGCTCCTTTTGCTCAGATCGGACAAACCCCTTCCTCTAGGAGTCGTGGTAAATGGTGACAAGTACAACAAACGGTGGAGACAAGCCCAAGAATTGGCAAATGCGTTCTGGAAACGATGGATAAAAGAATACCTTCCCCTTCTGCAAGAAAGGCAAAAGTGGACAACAAAGAAACGTAACTTACAAGTTGATGATTTAGTATTAGTCGTGGATGAGAAAAAACCACGTGGACAGTGGCCTCTAGGTCTGGTGGAAGAATCGTATCCAGATAAGTATGGTGTTGTCAGGCAAGTATTGGTACGTACATCCAATGCGAAATTGAAAAGAGACACAAGAAAACTGTGTTTGCTCGAAGGAGCTTATTGAAATAAACACTATGATATTATTAATTTAGTTTAAGTGTTATATGGTATCAAGCTTAATGAATAGCATAACCTTGATAGGGGCGGGTAATGTAAGACCCAAATGAATAATTATTGAATATATATGAGCATTTGTGTTAAGTATTGCGGGCTCGCGAACTGAGATATATAAGCGCTAAGTCGCATAATTAGTTTAGTTTTTTACTTTAAATTACTGGACAGTGGAAGTACGTTATATTCGAGGATTCAAGGACAGTAGAAGGATTCATTTATATTTAAAGCCAAGATTCGTCAACGTGAGGTATATTATGTTTCATTATTGCATGCATATTTAAATTGTAATAGTAAGTAGTAATAGCTAGTGAAATATTTATTTTAGAAAACCAGTGCATTCAGTGCAAACTATGGTGTAATAAAGAAGACACAATTTTAAGTGCTGTGACTGAGTTATTCTCATGTTGAACTATAAACGTAGATGTTTAGGATCTACACAACCATTAAACTGTACGTACCTATATTTCCCATCATCAAAGGATTGCTAAACTATGGGTAGCTAAACTATGGGCTGGAACTATTGGGTAGTCAAAGTGTAGGTTGGATTGGAATTATTCAGGGGGTAGTCAAACTATGGTCTGGAATTATTCAAGTGGCCAGTATGTAGCTAAACTATGATATGGAATTATTCAGGGGGTAGTTAAACTGGTCTGGAATTATTCAAGGAGTGCCTAAACTATGATATGGAATTATTCAGGGAGTAGTTAAACTATGATATGGAATTATTCAGGTTGCTAAACTGTGGTCTCGAATTATTCAGGGAGTAGTTAAACTATGATATGGAATTATTCAAAGACTGGCTAAACTATGATATGGAATTATTCAGGGGTTGCTAAACTATGGTCTTGAATTATTCAGGGGGTTGCTAAACTATGGTCTGGAATTACTCAGGGGGTAGTTAAACTATGGTCTTGAATTATTCAGGGGGTAGTTAAACTATGGTCTCGAATTATTCAAGGAGTGGCTAAACTATGGTCTGGAATTATTCAGGGGGTAGTTAAACTGGTTCAGGGGGTAGTTAAACTATATGGTATGGAATTATTAGCTATTAGCTAAACATGATCTGGAATTCAAAACAAATAATTAAATAATTGATGTGATCGAAGACTTGTAACTAACTGAGTGTTAATCTGAACAACCAGGGTCCTCAACAGAGGATACAATTTTAATGATCTATTTGAATGGTCTATTTTTCTATTTTGTGTTGTAATGTTGTATTATATGTTGTGTATTTTCTACATTGTGCGTTATCATATCTTGTGTGTATATAATTTGTTTTTATTACGTGTATATTTTCTCTTTTGTGTGTGTATCCTATTTTATGTGTGTTTTATATTTCGTATATAAATATAGTTTGTATTGCTCATGAGTCACGATTGCATACGTACATAAACTTCATTTCTAAGATCACTAATATCTCGCGCATATTCATATATTCGACAAGGCTGTCTATATCTTTCAAGATTTATGGAGACATCTTTGATCCAATATATTAGCTAACAGTAACACCACGCTATAGCATTTCAAACATATTCTTCAAAATAACATGCAGTATTTCTGCACCCTTGAATGAAAATTTACATATCATATTATTAAAAACGCCAACGATGACGAGTGAAATGATAATTTTAATATTAGTAATATTAAACCGGGGGTTTCTTCGAAGTTTATTGGTTCGCTACCTTTGCTACCCTGGTTAGAGTCTGAGCCAATAGGAAACAACCTTATTGAAGCTGCTACACTACCGAATACTCGAGTACGCCTGTCACGTTTGGAACCCACATCAACAATATTTAATCAATAAACTTGAACGCGTTCAGAGAAACGTTACAAGATGGATCAATGGTCAAAATGAAACATATGATGAGCGAATTAAATCTCTAAAACTCCCATCACTCGCTCTCCGCAGAGAATTCCTTAGTTTAGTACATTCATGGTTGCTCTGCTGGTAACATTAAAGAAACTTTATCCTTCTGTAAAAGAAAATCCAGACATTCTCATTCCTATAAACTTTATAGACTGTATTTCCGTACTGATATATTTAAATACTCTTTTTGGAATAGATATATAGATAGCTGGAATAAACTCCCATCTGTTGTTGAACAGAAAATGTAAATAGTTTTAAGAACGCCCTAAAGAAACATCTTTTTGGATAAACCTAATCTGTCATATTTAAGAATAATTTTTTAATCTATCCATAGTATCAATATAAGTACTGGCCTTGGACGTAATTTGTCTTGTGTTTGGATATATTTGTAAATATAGTAATACATATTTCTATGTAAATATAGTTTATGAATTATTTATATTGTAATATGGGGCATATTTCTCATGGGGATTAAGTACCTCTCTATTATGACCCAATTATAATGATAATAATAATCTCTTGTAAATATATTATTATTATTATTATTACATTAAAATTGTTATATATAATTAATTGATAAGAAATACAAACTTGATAAACCCCGCTTTACCGGTAGCTTATCAATGACTACAAGAATTGACTCTATATTAATATGCATGTACTGATTAAAATCTACTATGTGTCATTATTTTCCGGTTATAAAAATATTAAAGTGTCATAAGTTTTGGGTTATCCCACTCCTTGTTTCGTTTACAAATTATATAATACGATGATCTTATGCACATATTGAAAAATTTTTCTTTTTATATATTTGCTATGCTGGGCGTCAAATTTTAGGTTTCTGAGCATTTCATCAAAGCATTTAGCTGATCTACTAAAACGCTTAGTGCACTTAAGGATAAGTTGACAAATTTAACACAATCATAGCTTGACTCTAGCTCTTTAATTAAGTGGATATACTTTTGATGTTTCCGATGGGCGTTATCTTGCATGTTTGACTCATATCCAACAGTAAGCTCAAGAATATATAAATATCTGTTTTCAATGGCAAGTAAATGATCAGGTTGCAAGTTATTTCCGGTGAGAACAGATGGGTTTATAAAACAAGGTAAATCAACAAAAATTCTCGAAGTTTTTACCGCAGTAAGGGTTGATGCAAGAAAATTTAAGACGGAATCGGGTAGCCATGTATATCGGCCTTCTTTCAAGTATGTTTGACAACCAGCAATAACATGAAGCAGGGATTCAGGAGACGAGCAAAAAGAACAAGCTGAAGTTGACGACACGCCCCATTTTGAAAGGTTTTATTAAAAATTTTTTTCCCGCTTTTAACAGCTATGGTACTAGAAATTTGATTGGCATTACTGACAACTTGCACCCTGTCCATGAGGTAGTTTTCGAACCACGTCATGGCAATGTCCCTAAAACCTAATTAATCTACATAACTTGCAGAGAAGACTGTCATGAGGCACAGTGTCAAATGCTTTTCAATAAACACTGCACAAATTTTGATAAAACTTCCCCTTTGTGTACTTTATCTTATTTGCTACCTGATTTCAAAGTCGACGATACGTGCTCCAATCAATTTCACTGCCCGATTTACATTCTTTCTTTAAGTAATAACCTCTCTCATTCATAAGTTTTTTGAGGTTTTTTGTGAGCCATGGGCAGCTATGTCCTCTCACTTTCTTCCTTGCCATGGGCGCATATTTATCACACTTGTCAAAAAACCGTTCTTTCCATATCTCCCACGCATCATTCACATCCTCCTTTTCAAAAACTTCATCCCATGGGACCATCAACAGGTCATTATAGAAAGTAGTGCTGCTGTAATTTGCATAGGATCTACAATTAATAACCTTCAGTCGTTGTTTCCCAGAATTTATTTTTCGGACTACTACAATCATATCATGATCACTTA